CCCAAACCCTTAACAATTTCTATAACACCTAAACCCTAAAACCTAAACCCTAAACCCTAAAACCTAAGCCCTAAACTTAGGATCTAGGATTCAGCTGAGGTATCGGAATGCAGGGCTCGGGTAAGGTGCTTTACGGATGACGGATTTGCTTGGGAGGGGGTAGGGTTAAGGGAGTGGGCTTTAAGCTCATAGATGCCAGAGTGGCGCGCACTTACTTCGAAACCACTGAAGTCTTCTGCGGAAGCCCCGAACTATCAGATTATCAGCAATACTACAATCCCGACACAATTGCGTGTAAGGCATCCTGAGGCAACGCAGCCTAGCTAGCTGTAGCGACCATGTTGGGCCGTGGGGTTGCTGTTTCAAGCTGGATCGAGCTGGCCCCTTTGGTCGTCTTTTCAAGGCCTTTCTCCCAATGTGGAGAGGCTTTGCCATGTGGAGCTTGGGGGCCTGGTGCATGCTGGGGCGAGTTTTGAGCCAAAGTGTCCAAAGCTCTCCCGACACGAGCTGCATGTTGCAGTTCTCGGCAGCCCATCAAAACCTCGATTCATCGGATCCGGACTGCTCTTCCAGCGCTGACTGGACGGAGCAGTTGCGGGTGACGGCGCTAAATTCCACGAGCAGCAGCCTTTCCGGTATATCGACTTCCTCAGGAGCCGAAGGTGATACCAGCCTCATGGCATGGTCACCGAATTCGGGAACGGTCCCTGGTGATGTACTCGTTTTCAAGTACTCAGCATCTGCAGGATGGGAGGTACAGGCGAACCTCACGGAAGTGGCAAGCCAGAACGTAACATTGCCGGCTTCATGGGCGGATGACACGGCCCTGAGCAGCGAGAAGATCGTCGTGGCCTCGGAGAGAGTGAACGTGGCTGGGGTTAGGGAAACGCACACCTTCAAGTACGACGGGGCTTCCTGGGTTTTCTTGGGACAGCAGTCATTTCCATCCATTAACTCCCTCTTGTTCGCTCTTGGGGGAGACTTGCTGGTCTTTGAGGGCGCACAAGCATCGAACAGGGTCTTCCAGACCTTCCAGCTGCAAGGATCCTCGTGGTCCCTCGTGCCCACTGCTGAAATACAGCTTGTCTCCAGCGAAATTCCCCGGTTCGCGAGTGATGGTAGGACTTTGGCCATTCAGCTGGAATCACAGGTGTTTGTCTACCGGTGGGCTGCGAACTCTTGGTCCAATGTAGCAAACATCTCAGAACCAACTGGATTTGGTCTCGGACCTGTGGACGTGGACGGAGACTACATCATCGCCAGCTGGGTCATCGTTACAGACACTTTTCGGTTGGAGACGGCGATCTACGAAGACCAGAGCGGGCTGTGGTCAGAAGTCTTCCGGATCGAAAACGACCCGAGTGGAGTTCCCTTCACGCGGGTACTGGAGATCTCCTCCTCTGGCAAGGCCACCCAAAAGCCCAAAACTTCGACTGGGACCCCTAAGCCCTACCAGCCCTAAACTCTAAACCCTAAATCCCTGTGCGGGTATTCCTAAGCGCCCTAAACCTTAAAACCCGAAACACAGGCCATCGTGGACTGTGCTTCTGCTGTGGGCTGCTCTGGTATCACCATCCTCGAGGCTCGAACCTAGTAAACCCCTAAAGCCCTCAAGCCCTAAGCCCCTGAAGCTGGATTTAGCGTTTCCTGCCTAAAACCCCAAACCCCCTTATAACCTCTAAAGCCAGACAGCACCGTGCTAAAGTAGTGAAGCTCTAAAACCCTATCATAAGACCCAAAGTGGACAATCCTGGAGGTGAGTTCCAACGGCACATGGGGCGTGACTCAGACGATCGACTACGTTCCGTCGGCTTCACGGGCCTTTCCGAGCGGTGCCATATCAGCGATCTCACTTGCCGTGGCCCAGTGGGTTGTGCCCGCCGCAGGGCCCCGTGAGAGCATCGGAAGGATCCTAGGGGTTTAGGCTTGCGGCTTGGGGTGTAGGGCTTTAGGATTAAGTTTGTTCGCGAGGATCTTTGGATGCAATGGGACTTCCCCGACCTCCACAACGACCATGCCTTTGCCGTACTATCGGCCGTACTATGGTAGACGCTGCCCTCCTCGCTGTCGTCGACACTATCATCGACCGCCTTGGTTTTGGTGGAGATGCAAACGCCTCTGTGGCAACTGGTAAGTGTGGCCACTGGTAGTTTGACTTCTTTGCAAATCCCGGATGCGATTGTTCTGTTGTGAGGGTTGGGTTTCAGCTTGATTTCTTTTAGGGGTCTAGGGGTTTAGGGTTTAGGACTGTGGCACAGCGTGTCCAGATCTGGAGATTCAATTCAAATCAAGCCTTTCAAGGAGGCCTGTCTCAAGAAATTGTCTGGCTAAAATCTTCCACCGGTATACATTTGGGCACAGGGCAAAGGGTGCCAGGTGATATTCTAAACAGTACGATACTCCTTGTTCTCACCCGCGCAATGCATGCCAGTCAGGCCGCACCGGTTAAAAGAGCTCAAAGCCACTGAAGGGCTCCGAAGCATTAGCATCGGCACTATCATTGACCGCCGTGGTTTTGGTGTAGCTGATAAATCGATTCTCCATGTTTGGCTTGTACTGACAATGAATGCGTCTTCTCATGATGCTACATGCTGAGCAGCTGCAACGACATCCTTCACCGATGTGGCGCCGGCGAAAACAGCTCCAAGCAAGCTCGGGGTTTGTCTTGGGTCTTGCGACAGATTCGCTGACCCTTTTGGAACCGGAATACCGCAACTAGAAATTATATTTTCAAATGAAAAATTAAATAAATTCGATAAATAATAATCTGAAAATTTCGAATTCTATTATGGAAAGAAAAAATATGATATGACAAAAATAGATGAAATATATTTTCTACTAAATATCTTATTCCTTTGTTGAAAATCTATTCAAATAAGGAAATCGAAATAAATATCGAAATATATATAATAATTAATGAGATTTATATATTGACTTTTATATTATTTTGTAGAAATGTAAATATCTGGTGATGCCCCGGGCATACTGCCGTCTATGAAAGTATCTGGTCGGGGTAGGGGGATAGCGAGTGGTATTGGGGTTAGTAAGATGGATTTGGCGTCGGCAAGATTTGATATTGTTAGGAAAGAAAAAGATGGAAAAAGAAGAAGACTCTATATATCTCAAAATAGATCGTTCATCTTATTTCGTAGGGATAAAAATAAAATACGCGTAATTTGTGAGAGGTCTCTCCGATGGATATGCTAGCTTCTATTCGGCGATTTTCTTGCTGAAATCGTCCGTTATTCTACGAGGTTCTATATGATTTCTCTTATTTTTCTATGTTATGCCGCTCGCCCGCCACTCTCGAAATCTACTTCGACATACTACTCCGCCACACTCCCCATAACACTTACATTTCTATATTCCGATCTATAATTACGATATTTATTCGTCTCATATAAAATGATAAATATTTAATAATTTTATGATATATATTACATACATAAAATTTTCAAAGATCCTTTCAAATATATAATATCGATAATTTCAAATATAATAATGAAGATAATGAAACTACCGAATAGAATAAATATGATTGAAAATATCGTCATATACAAGATTATTTCACGAAAATAAAATGAAAAATATCAAAATTTTTCCAACGATCCCAGATTTCCTATATTCGAGAAATTTCGTATAAACACCCATCCTACATAAATCAAGAATTAGAAGATATATATTTTTTTCTATATGATACATATTTAAAAAATATGAAATATTTAACCCATATCTTCTATAGAATTTTCAGTGAATATCTTTAATGATATAGAAAACCAAATTATATTTTCTCTAATCATTAATATGAAATCTCATATATTAATCGATATAAATCTAATTATATTTAATATTTCTCAATATATTGAAATAAGAAGATATATAGAATCTATAGATTATGAAATTTAATTTTAATAATATAATCTCGTCTTCATAAATTGGAAATATATATATATATATTTTCATATATATGCTTCCCCCACCCCCAAAGATCTACCTTTTTTATGAAGGTGGATCTTTAGGTAAGGAGTTGTACAAGCATGACGAAGAAGTACTTGATATGATATGGATTTGAGCAGAAATTTATTGTTATATGTGCTTGTCATGCAGCCAGCATCATTTCATTTTATTTGCAGTGTAAGGCGTAGATTATTTGAAATTGTGTCGAAGATATAGAGACTCCGTTTTGAGCAATATCGGCTTTTCCCATACGTGGCATATGCATGCTCTATACAACACTATGGATATGTAGAAGGCTCTCAGAGTCTAAGGACTCGATCGCCTATATGATGATCTTACCACGTGATGAGGTCGCCCGTACAAGTCCAGAGGTCTTGGCCGCGATGCCAGTATTCATATCGAGCTGATCTCATTTGCGCCTGAATGCGCATGGATCCTGTCTTCACGTTCTGATTCACGCGAAGACGCTCCTTCACGAATTGCCAGCACCTGTCTATGACTTGAGTGCCAGCCTTGACAGTGATCTTGCGATCACCAGGCAGGGTCACCTTTTTGAGGCTGACATAGGTTGGCTGCTTCTATTTCCATACATCACGAACCTTTTTCTATTTTTTCTGATATACGACGGAGCCATGGCGAACGCCTCGAACTTTGATCTTGTACGCCCTGGCGCTGTCGCTACGGAAGATCACGTGCTTGTCTTTTAACCTTTTGTCCGCGATCTTGTGCCACTCATTCTTACGGATGGGGCCCGGGCCAGGCGATCTCTTGGTGGTGGGCCTCGGATGATTTAATTGAGAAGTATATATACACGCCGTTGTTTACGTGGAATTATTTGCAGAAGAGGGGCTTCGGAGAGAGGCGTAGAAGAATCAACGAAGTTGTTTATCGCGCTGGACCAGGCCGACCCATTGCTCCCATTCCACAATCTTTCCTGGACACTCCGCTTTTTCGATTGGAATGAGTGTCTTGTCGAACACAGCCTCATCCGCCTCAATATCTTGCCAGGCATTGTTCCTGCCGCCGAAGCTCATGGAGGATTGCACGTGCTCAACGTAGCCTTAGCGGACAAGATCGAGGCTTATCTTCAAGTGTGTCACGACTTTGTGATTGACGTATATCACGAGATGGATCGCGCTTGTCGCCACTCTTGCAAGTAGCAAAAGCAACACACCGGCCTGGAGTCCAAGAGAATGCCCCTCCAGCCCTCTTGTTGTAGAAAATAAAGGATGGAGGCGCTGCGGCGTGATGAATTTTTGATAAGCTTTTCGTCGGCTTCGATATCGGGGAAGTCTTGAATCTCTATCCAGCAGAGGGCCCACAATTCCCTTGGAGCAGAAAGGGCAAGTAGCCCCTTCTCAAGTCGGCATGAAATCATCCTGTGAGAGGAGATTGATGGCATCCTTCTCTTTCAAAGCTATCAAATCCTGAAAGATTCGCTTCCATTTCAGCCGATCAATCCTAACGGCTGTGTGATGGCTTCTTTATGAGATTCTATTTCAGAATCGTGCCCAATTTCCCCTTTTTCGGGGTAGGGAAATTATAGGCAGGCTTTTTTAAGCACTTCCCCATGGTAATAATAGTACTGGAAATCTACTCAACGCGATAGGTATTTGCTCGAGCCTGAGGCATCATGTTATTTTGATATAAGTAATGGATTCAATCTGTTTTATCAGATTGGTCTCAGATAACAACACTGTCGTAGAAATCTCTTTATCCGACAAGTCATAGCATCATCTGGCTACACTGAATTCACCCAGCAGTAAGATTGCGCATGAAAGCGAAGCATCGGAGCCTTGAGGTACTGAGAGTTTCGTCACCTACACCAATCTGCAAGGTGGACTGGATTGCCCATGTTCGCACCATGGCCACGCCTATATCAAATAAAACTTAGGCCCTCGAATGAGAACAGATGTCCGAACTACTCAGCACACGCCGTGCAGGAAGAGGGAGGCCTCCTCATCTATGTCCATCTCGTCGGACTGACTGCAAGCTTTGGGAGAACTCTCTGATCTGCTCGTGGTGCAACGATGGAGGAGGACGGCTCCGTGGGCAGTTCGTCATGGTCTGTATCAGGGCTGTGCTTCACGGAAGTGGAGGGCGCAGTCTTGGTGGACACGCGTCTCGTCGGGGAAGGATAAACGAATCTACTGGAATACAGGATACGTTTGCGGGGCATGTTGGATATTGCCAATTGCACACAGAAGGGCACGGCAGGAGGAATGGACTGAGCCTCGTTAGATGACGAGGAACTTGGCAAGTGCCGGATACGGATCGGAGATGGTGTCCTTGGACGGAGGCGCCGCTGCACTTCTTGTTTGCAATGGTCCCGGTACGCTTGAGTGCCCTTTTCCGATATATTCATGAAGGAGTTGAGGATCATGTTCTGCTCACGAGCGATACCAAGCTTCATAGCCGTCGCCCCTGACCATGTTCCCCTGCTTATATTCGGCATAGGAGTACTTGTCATGAGGGCTCAGCAAATCCAAATATACGTCGTTCGCATTGATGCGATGTACCACGCCATAGGCGTGCTACGATGGCAACCACAAATATAGTGCATGCTTGCCGAAGATGAAGACGAAAGACCTTTTGAGGACGGTCATGATATCCGCCTCCTTCTCACCAGGGAAAGAAGGCCGCAAAAGTTGCAGGCATTCGTCGGAGGATATGGTTGTCCTGCCGTCGGGAGACGGCTCGTCTTTGTCCGACAAATGATTCGGAGCGTAAGCGCGGACCTGTCCACGGACCAGCTTGACGTCGTTGTACCTGGCAGAACACGTCTGGTCCTCCTCAGCCGTCATGTGCGACTTGAGGTCTGCCATGTCGAGTTTCTCGCGGCTGGGGTCGTCTAGGAAGACGCCATCATAGACTTGAGGCACTCGGTGCCTGAAGTTGTCCAAGGATTTAGACCGTCTCCATGAGGGTTTCTCGTTCAAGCCCAGCCTGCCAATATGATACCGACCAATGGCGAGTATCATGATAATAAGCGCTGGAGTCTTTCCAACCCCGGGCCAGCCAATCATCATCACGCCGTGTACCACCATTAACGGGTAGACGAGGGGCAAGAGAAACTCGGAGAGGAAACCCTTGAGGCTGTAGATGTGAAGGGGGAAGTCGTATTGCGGCTGCGCGCCTCCAAGTCCTCGAGATTTATTTTGGCACATGAAACGTACC